AAAGGGCATCAAGAATTGGTTTAGGATTAACAAATACCAAATCTGGCAGGACGTCACGATAATAAAGAATGATAGTGACATTGTGTAAATACTGTAGAGCTTCAATGATATCTGATTCATCATCAAGTCGGAGAGACTTACCAATTTTATTCACTTCTTCTCTTGTAAGGAAATTTCTTTCTTTTGACTTAGCCTCTATCTGTAGTGAAATTTCAAAAATAAAAAGTCGAATTGGCAACTCAATTGTCATTTCAAGATTGCAATTTGAAATCGCAGTACAAAGCTCTACACTAGCTTCTTCTCTTTCTTTAGACCCAGCAGGGAGCAACGTATTAACTGGAAATATAATCGATTCTTGAGGCATATTCCAAATGATGTTTTTAAGAGCTAAATTGGAGCTTTTCATCAGACTTTCATTCATTTCTTCCAGCTTTTTCTCAGTTACTGACTCATCATCTTTACGTGTACCAAGTATAAGATAATGAGAGTGCTTGGGCATGTGAGAAACATAAGGAATCTCAATGAGATTCAACATAGCTTCGGAGCTAATTGTTGAGCGAATTATGCCACGATTTGAATATTGCAGATTCGTATTAATAGGAGATGTGCATTGACTGATACGATATTGAAACTTGCACTTCTCATCAAGATCTTTGGTAAGATCAATGGTGATGATATTCAGTGCAGCTGCTCTTGTAAAAAGAGGTAGCAACTCTCGATATGCTGGTTGACCACCAGAATCAATGAAATAAACCCAATTTGAAGTTAATTTTTGAGACTTTCCAGTTGCAAGGGCATTTGCAATTTTAATAATTACTTCCATATTCTTGGCCGCTTCATTCAGTGGTAGATCTGAAGCATCAAGTACAACACCTAAATTCCTTCTTTTTTCATCCATTTTTATAGATGCTTCTTTCTGTTTTGTTTCATTTCGTGCTTCCTCTAAATGAGATGCTAACTGGTTAAGAAAATCTTCCCTTTTAACTCTCTCCCACTTCTTATTTTTATCATCAACTGATATTCTTGTTGCTTGAACAGCACGACAAGCTATTGCTGTACTATCAGTAGAAGATGGTGGTGGCTCATTAAGTAGGAGGTGTTGTGAACACGTTTTACCAGCTCCAGGTGCACCATGCATATTGATACGAGTGACCTTCAGCTCAACTTTACCTTCTTTCAGCCATCTTTCTATTTTTCCTAAAAATTGTAATAGTGTCAAACTGAACTTGAAAATAAAGAGAATGTTGATTTGAGTTTGTATAGAAGTATACTAAGAATTAATCTGGCTCCACCCCTTTGTTACACAGGGGCCCGGTGGCGCAGAAGAGTCTGGTGACACTGCTTCAGAATTTGTTTTAGAAAGGAATGCAATAATTAGTAGTCATTTTAGTTATAAAAAATGGCTGTCACATGATTGCCTTTCTTTTTGAGGCTTTTCTTGACAAGCAAGCCTCCTTAAGTGAGAAGAGCTACAGCAGTAAAAGGATGGTTAATTCAAGGACAATATCTGTGGGAGGAAAATAGAAAATCTGTATACTTTTTAACCAAATTTAACATGAGAATTCTTCTTATTCTTCTGTTACTTCATCTACAGTTAGTTTTTGTTCCTTTGCTAGCATTTATTGTATCTACAGCAGGTTTGTCAGTCATACTTGCAGCCATTTTGAATACTGTGTAGGGGTTTTATTTTGTTGGTATAAAATTTCGCGAATTTGTTCAGATTTGCCATTTGTTGGTATAAATTTTCGCGAATCCTGCCTTCTGCAGCCATTTTCCCTAGTGTGCCACACCTCTTTTGTGCATATTTTGTGGAATTTAATTTCACGAATTTAATGAAAATGCAAAATTCGCGAAATTTATTTTCAGTGAAATATAACCCCTATACGGTAGGTCACATGACAAAGTTACTTCCATGTGAGTGTAATAATCTGATTGGTGCACCCAAACCTGTGCTTAGTGTAACAAATTCTGTAGCAGTGTCACCAGACTCTACTGCGCCACCCCCACGCAATGAAGAGATGGGGCCAGACTAACTAAGAATCAATTCATTTCATTCACATTTTGTAACAAAATACCATATAGGGGGTATATTTCCCAGGGAAAATATTCACAAAAATTGCCTTTCAACCTATTCACAAAAAAAATTTTTGTGATGTTCTTCTACTGACCATTATTAGTATGATAAAAAATAATTTTCATAGATAACAATTTTCACAAATTTTTTAAAACAGTGAAATTAAATCCCCGTGAAATATACCCCCTATATGGTAACTCATCTGCTAAGTGCTAAAGAAACAATTAGTGGTGCAAGTATGTAATTAGTATAAACTTGTGTAAATAAAGTATAACAAACAGTGCAAAAGAGAAAGCAGAGATATTGTAAACTGCAAAACCTTGCTACTCTACTTAATATAGCAAGGCTGCAAAAGTCATGGCAGCCATTTTGTTTGGGGGTGAATCCTACTAGTAACGCTACCGCATTACTAATATTATTCATTAGGCCACTCCAATTAAATTTATAGTTTCTCCTTTCCCACCCACTTGCCCACACTAATATTTTGATTATCTGTTACTTTTTAATTAAAATAATAACGTAAACACATGTGTCTTTTCACTTTTTTGAAGAATAACTGGGGTCTTCACTGCTCTCTAGTTCATTGATGAACAAGAAATCAGGTATAGTTGCTACTTTGTCGGAACTTTATTATTATTATATTTTAATAGGTAACGTGAAAGACAATCTATTCCTGAGCCTGAGGTCAATCCTGTCTCTCATCCTGCTAGACTGAAGATCTTAGACCTACCTATTGTCTATTAGTGTAAAATATCATTGTAAAATCATGATTATTTTAAAAAATAAAAGATTGTACTGCTAATAACGTTCCTAGTATTGTGCCAAAGTGAGCAGCCTTATAATGTTAATGTAAATATGCGTGCTTGAACTGTGAAAGAACTGAGGTGGTACAAAAACAAGTTTAAATACATGTACATGTACCTGAAAAAAGAGCTTTTGTGGGTTTTTGGGAATGCCCCCAGGTCGTTCCTAAATTGTTTTCACGGTCATGCTATCTATCTATCTATTGATAGATATTGATAGATATTGATAGATTGAGGTTGGTTTTTCAAGATGGCAGCCATTGTTATGATTTTAAACCAGGGTTGGGGCGAAGTACTTTGAAAAGTACTTAAGTAAAATCCAAGTACATTTACAAAATACTTAAGTATAAGTACAAGTACATGATAGCTATTGACAAAAGTACTTAAGTATAAATACAAGTACTTTGATGTACTTAAGTACAAGTGTAATTACTTTTTAAAGTCGATTTAATTATATTAGTAACGCGGTAGCGTTACTAAGTAGGATTCACCCCAAAACAATATGGCTGCCACGACTTTTGCAGCTTTGCTATACCGGGAAAACGAGCTCCTATGCTTACCAGACTTCTTAGAGGACCTTATCTTGACCAGAGGACTCCATTGGTACCACTAGCGTGGCTCTACACCTTGTCTAAGAGGAAAGTCAAAAATCAGCAAAACGACCATTTTTGTTCAGTCCACTTTTTTACGACCTGGGGGCGAAGCCCCCAGGTCGTTCCTATAATTGATTTCACCCACGTGCGATATATATATAAGATATATCCCAGTTGAGTTTGGGACAAGAAAAACTGGAATAACTTTCTATAGGAATGTGGGATAAGGATGAAACTTTTACAGGTTCTTAGTCGCCAAAGTCCATCAAAATCTGTGAAATTTTGGGTCTCTCAGCCCTTGGGAACCCTGAGAACCGGGTTCTCCCTATAAACCCAATGGCATACCAAAATGACGTTTTATGACAATTTATCTACGTCATAGTTTACATAAGAACATGTGGTCGAGCGCCCAAACTGATAATTCTTCTTTTAAAAAGCTAACAGAGCCAGATCTTTTGATAATAATGGCCATTATGAAGACTAGTAGGCTCCAGCAGCTATTGTACTGCTTATCAGCAACAGCAAGACTGTTTTAAGAGTGAAACAACACAGCCGCCATGCTTCTATGAATATAATTAAAATACGTCATTTTTGTGACGTAACTACATTTCGCAGCTGCTTCCACTTCCGTCCCAAACTGAACTGGGACATAGTATATATATTTGTATGTCCACACTTACATTTCTTCTATACATGTTGTATTGGAGAAATAACAAGCCTTAGCAACCATCCGCCCACGCTACGTAAGTGGGTGTGGTCACGGCAAACAAGATGGCAGCTTGCACATGGGACAAAGTTATGAGCTTTCTAACAGTGAAAAAACATAGAGATACTGTCTAAAGACTTCTCTAGAAGCATTAGAAGGTAGAGAGACCTTCA